GTGAAGATTAAAATAATATATATACATATACATGCATATATACTTTATTCTTTATATATAATATGTATAATACATAAAAGTATTCTGTATGTGTTGTATGTGTGTGTATATGTATATAAATATATATCATATATATGTTATCGAATCTGACGTTAATAGTTGTCTCTTCATTCAATTTCTTTTGCAACAAACATATGTTGAACACCTACTGTGTTACAAATGCTGTGGAGGATACAAGATGAATAAGATGTGACATCTCTCCTTAAGGAGCAAAACTTATTCACACAGAACTAGAAGGTGCTACCATGAGTGTTGTGATTGTGCACTATAAACAGTGTAGAATATAAAAGAAACTCCTAGGAGAAAGGAATTGGTTCTGTAAATTCAAGGAAGGCTCCAAGGAGGATTTTTCCCATTTGTCCTCTTGTACACAAAGCTCCCCTTTATCTGTCTTGCCTACCTTCTGGTAAATACTCATTTATTTCAGGTGATGCTCTACATCCCCTTGAAGAATGGGTTGTTGCTCTGAAAGACTTATCCACCTCATATCTTAGCCTGTCTCACTCTCACTTCCAAGCAATGGCAACATTCTCTTTTGCCTGTTTCAGTGGATGAGCTTTAGCTTCCAAAGGGCAGTAAATCAATTTGGGTTGTTGGTGGACAGGATAAACAGATTTCCTTTTACCCTTGTCTAGACATGGGTAAAGTAAGTGCCCTAAAAATGCCACGTAAATGTTTTTTTGGAATATTATGCTCCATGAATCATCTGGCTTAATTGGACTGGTCATTTTCTGTCCGTTTTTATGTGACCGAGAGAACCAGTATCTGACAAATTTACTGGTCTAGAGAGAAACTTCTGGGAAAGAACTAATTCTTACTGGACACTAGCTCCAGTAAGCCACAAGCTGATTTTTCTATTTCTATATGAGACAATCATCACTGCAGATTTAGAACCACTACATAATCTACTCTCACTTTCTGCTTCTCTCCTACTCACACACTGTGGTCCAGCCACACTGGCCTCCTTGCCAATCCTTAAACTTGCCATGCATGCTCCCATCTAAGGGCCATTGCATGAGCTCTTCCTTCAGGCAGAATCCCTCTTGCTCAGATGTTTACAGAGCTATCTTTAATATTTCTATCAAATTTCTGCTCAAATGCTACCTCCTCTGAGAGGCTTTTCCTGATAACCTTATTTAAAGTACAATCCTGTGGTTCATTATACCTAACTCTGCTGTATTTTTTTTTTTTTAATAGCAAGTGCCACTATCTGACGTTATTATGTATATTTCTATTTTCTCTCTCTTGAATATAATATTTACGAGGACTTGGGCTTTTTCCATATCCCGACACTTGGTACATAGTGCTCAATAAATATTCCCTGAATGAATAAGTGAAGGGACTTATCTTTAGGTTTCCTAGAGGGAATAGAATAAAAAATGACTAAGGTTTCTTGGTGGTACCCATGGTGGTGCAAAACAGAGTTCTTATTGTTGTTGGTGCCTTCAAATCGATTACAAACTCATAGCGACCCAATATGACAGAATAGAATTGCCCCATAGAGTTTCCTAGGTTGTAATCTTTATGGGATCAGATCTCCAGTTCTTTGCTCTTGTGGAGCATTGGTCGGTTTGAACCACCAACCATCTGGTTAGCAGCCAAGAGCTTAACCATTGCACCACCAGGGTTCCTCAAAACAGAGGTGGCCTGACTTGTATAGAAAATGTACAGGACTTTACACCGGAAGATTTGGGCCTTCTCTTTCAGGCACGTGAGTTTGGATAAGTTTGAGTCTGAGTTTCCTCACACCTAATCAACTAGACTGAGGTAGATATGATCAGAGATAAAAAAATAATAATAATGGTGTGTTTTCACAAATTCTAGAATTTTAATGTAATTCTTGCCATCTCATTGCAATCTTTGTAATCGTTTGCATCAATATGCAAATATTATAAAAACAAAGTCAACCATCCAAATTAAAATATACTACTTACAGAGATGAGAAAAAAATTCTTCTAAACATCTAATGAACTTTCAGTCATCCTTAAAAGGAAAACGTAAATGCAATGAAAAGATGAGTTGAAAGGCTATTATATATTATAACCCAACAAAATGTAATATTTCTATTCTCTGCATGCCTACAAATACAATTATGAGCATTGCTTTCTTGTCTCTTAAATTTCAGTGTTTACAAAATTATCTAAGATTTTCATATTGGTGCTTTCTCTGAGGAGTAAGTAGATTTGCTAATCTCAGCTGGTTACAAATTTTAATTTCATAATATCCCCAGCCATCTCTCAGATATCATCTTTATGAGTCATTCTGTGTGGACGGAAGAAAATAGCAGCAACCCACTTCAAATTAGGTGTTTAAATTGCTTTTTTTCTAATAAGGAAATCCTTGCTGGTCTATGATAAATACGAAAAAGCATCAGTAAAATGTTACATTTCTAAGATATTTATTTAAGGTATAACAAAGATTTTAATACTAATATTTGAATAAATAATGGGAGAGTGGATTTTCTAGTTCACTAACTCATGCTTTTTTAGGTAAGGGCTAATTTTTATATCTTAACCATATTTATTTAATTTTTTAGCCAAGATTATTGCCATGTGACTGAGATTGTCCATGCATAATGAAGCTATTAAAATGTGCATGTTGAACCCCAGGTACAATTTGTGTGCCTGTTTGTTTGGGGGAGGTGGAGGGCGGTTTTATTAAAATAATTCTGTGTATATTGGAGATGAAGGTACATGCTGAAAAACTCTGTGGAAGGAAACCAACTGTTTATTTTGCAGGGCAGGATTTCAGTTCTCAAATGCTACCTTCTCAAAAGTAGCATTTGAATCACTGCCCGTATTCAATGAGCAGGCCTTTTGCTCCGGCCTTCTTTCCTGTCTCTATTCTATGCACAGAATTACTTGAATAGAGTCTCAGAGAAGTGGAGGGGCCTATTCTGAAAAAACAGCTGAGGATAGCACTGATTCATTGCTCTGAGAAAATCCCTAATTCTCAGTCAGAGCCAGACTCAAATGTCACTGCTTAGTACATCTTCCCAACCATCTTCTCTCTCATGCTCCAAAAATATATGGTCCCCACTCTGAGTTAATACTTTTTATAATCTTCTATTATGTCATGTATTAAATGGTATAATATTGTTATGGATTGAATTGTATCCCCCCTAAATATGTGTTGGAATCCTAACCCCTATACCTGTGGAGGAAACCCTGGTAGAGTAGTAGTTAAGAGCTACGGCTGCTAACCAAAAGACTGGCAGTTCAAATCCACCAGGCACGCCTTGGAAATCCAATGGGACTGTTCTACTCTGGCCTACAGGGTCGCTATGAGTTGAAATTGACTGGATGGCAATGGGTTTATACCTGTGGATGTAATCCCTTTTTGGAATAGGGTTTTCTTTGTTATGTTATATCAGTATAAGGTAAACCTACTTCCTTCTGAGTTACGAGGAGCAGCATAGACACAGAGACAAGACAGCATAACCCACAAATGGGGGAAGATGGATGCCACAGGAAGATCTCCAAGGAACTGAGGAACACTGGGGCTACAAATGTGGAGAGAGACAAGGATCTTACCCCACAATGACAGAGTCTTCCTCTAGAGCCAGTGCCCTGAATTTAGACTTCTAACCTCTTAAACTGTGAAAAAATACATTTCTGTTCTTTAAAGATACTCACTTGTGGTATTTCTGTTATGGCAGCACTAGGAAACCAAGGCAGATATTAATCCTGTACATGTGAGTATTCTCAAGACTCTGAGCATCTCATAGTCAACTCTGTATCTGTCTAGCACAAAGCCTAGCCTATAAAATAAAAGCAGGTGTTGAATAAATAAAAGTAGGTGCTGAATGCCTGTTTGCAGAATAAATAAATCAGGCACTGTCTGCTGCTTCCCAGAGAGGGACTGAGGGTACAGAACCCAGCCAAAGTTGGGATGGGATGAACCTGGCTTTGTCTTGGACTGCCAGATTTATAGGGTGCAGACATCATGCATGATGATTTGTAAGGACTGCCCAGAGTTCTAAACCCCTTTTCTTCCTAACAGTAGTCCTTGTATTAGTTTCCGAGGGCTGCTGTAACAAAATACCACAAACTGGGCTACTTATAAGGAGAGAAATTTATTGTCTCACAGTTCTGGAAGTTAGAAGTCTGACTGAATTCAGGGTGTCAGCAAGACCATCACTCTCTCAAAGCTCCAGGAAAAGATCCTTCCTCATCTTTTCCAGCTTCTGGTAACTTCAGGCATTCCTTGGCTGTGGCAGCATAGCTCCCAGCTCTGCTTCCTTCTTCACATGGCTGATTTCCTTCTAAGTATCTCTGTCTCTGCATCTCTTCTCTTCTTTTTATAAGGACACTGGTCATACAGGATTAGTGCTCACTCTACTCCAGTTTGACATTGTGTTAGCTTAACTAGCTACATCTGCAAAGATGCTATTTCCAAATAAGGTCATATTCACAGATGCTAAGGGATTTGGCCTTGAACACATCATTTTGGGCCGCACAAATGAACCCATAACAGTCCCCTTTAACAAACTCCCAATCCTGCTATTGTCTTTCCTTCCTCTATGGAGCTTTTAGTGCACAGAGATCCACTACTTCATCCTTCCCTCCTCTTCGCAGTGAATACCACCATTGATTTGAAAAGTATTTTAGTCCTGTTTTCCTTGAGCTTCCAGTGTGTTGTCATGGCTCCCCCCTCGATAAACCATTTCTCAAGTCCTCTCGAGGTGGTGAGTATGGAGGTATATGCCTAGAACTTTCTTCAGTGCACCTAGATTTATACCTAATCTTGAAGGAAAATAAATAAGAGGGCCTGTCTCTCTCTCTTTCTCTCTCTCTCTCTCTCTCTGTGTGTGTGTGTGTGTGTGTATGTAGTGTGAAGGGAGGGTGGGGATGTAGAAAGAAGATTGGAAAGTATAAGAACACTTACAGAGAAATGTGAGTTTTATGGTCTCTGAAAATTTCTTTGTCATTCTTTGCCAGGTTGACTTTGGGTTTGCAAAGAAAATAGGATCTGGACAGAAAACATGGACATTCTGTGGGACCCCAGAATATGTAGCTCCTGAAGTCATTCTCAACAAAGGACATGACTTCAGTGTGGATTTTTGGTCCCTGGGGATTCTTGTGTATGAGCTCCTCACTGGCAAGTAAGTGCCTTCATGTTTTATTGAGCTTCTTCAGAGAATTGAAAAAATAACTTACTAATGATAAATAAATATAATTGAGGAATTTAATATTTTTGGAATGTTTTTGATATAAACATGATGTCTTTTCCTCTTCACATTATCCCACATACAGCATGCTTCTAGTACGTAATATGCAGAAAAGATTCAGCAAGGTGAAGGGAAAGCAGTAAACAATTGCTATAGTTTTCCTAAAATGGCAAGGTCTCTTGTTATAGATAACTTATTAGGTGTGTGAATGTTTTGATAACCAAACATAAGAGAAAGAATTGAAGTTGTGGGCTATGTTATTATCTCCTTTATTTATTTTGGTAATTGAGGAAATGGCAATCATAGTTAAATTAAATCTATCAGTCAATTAAACTAAATTTAGCTTTGTTCTTCTTCCACCTTCCCAACAAATCATTAACCAGAAATGCTAAGAGAAAGAAGCATTGCTGGATTTAAATTTTAATCCCCTTGTCAACTCCTTGCTAGAGGTGCTAATGAACAAAGACAAGACACAGCAGGGATTTTAGCAGTTAAAGTTGAATTGTCATTCCCAAAGAGATTAAAAGGCTGTATTAATGAACCCAGTATCCCAAATATTTAACCCACACACAAACACACAGGTTGTATGTAATATGTTGTATATAATATTACCTTACGTTTGTAAAGCACTTTAAAGTTTACAAAGCACTTGCATGTATTGTCTAATGTAGTTTTCATCATGTGGAAGTTTTAAATTTATGTGAAAGAAAAGGCAGGGATTTTTATTATTATTGTTTTATGATTTAAATTTTTATTATGATTTTATGACTTAAGTTTTATAGAATAGAAAACTAGGTCATCGAGCTGTCTGTCTAAGATCAGGGATTTGATCCCAGATCTTCTGATTCTAAATGTGACACACTTTTTATTACACATGTATGCCATATATATATTTATAGTATAACGCATAGATACACATACACAGAGAATGCAGATCAGTTTTCTTTTGGTAATTCAGATTTTGTACCTGAATTTCTCATTAACTGATTTGACACCATTCTTACAATGCTTTATAACCGAATGTTCTCAGTCTTAATTTCCGGGAGGAGTCCCCTATGGAATGGCATAAGAAATACCACAATGAGTCCATCGGTGGGGATACAAGTCCCCACACACACTCTATATAGTTTCACAGCATTTTCTTGAACTTTTTACACTATATACTGTAATGATAGATTACCTATGGATACATTCTACTTCCTTATCTACATGTATTGAGCAAACAAATATGAGAGACTTTTTGTATTATCTGTAATGAGTTTCAAATATTCATTGCTTAAGATTCCTAAGGAAGTAAGAACATTTTTCAGACGGTCATTGAGAGAGAAAAGTTGCTTAAGGTCTTGGGACTCAAAGAATTCTATTTCAACTACTTGCTTCTTCATCCCTGGGAACATTATCAGCTCCATTTCTAAAAGATATATAATGGTTCCTGTGAGTAACCAGAGAATAGGACACTATACATCCCAGTCTTCATCAGCTGGAATAAATGGTTACAAATCTGTTTCTGTTGAGTCGATTCTGACTGATAAAAACCCTATAGGACAGAGTAGAACTGCCCCATAGGGTTTCTAAGGAGCAGCTGGTGGATTTGAACTGCTGACCTTTTGGTTAGCAGCCAAACTCTTAACCACTGCACCACCAGGGCGCCAAATGGTTACAAGGGGTGGGGAAATAGAGTGAGGGAATAAGGAAGGGGAGGAAAAAAAAAAACAGAAGAATATAACAGAGTTGCTAAGATAGCCTTGAGCTCTCATTAAAAAAAAAAAAAAAAGTTGTGAAATTGTTTTTATAAAATTTTTAGGGAAGAACATGAGAAAAGTTAATTTTAAATGTCCTGAATGTTAGCGTATATCCATATTTGTTATAAACAACTAAAGAAAGCAAAGAAGGAAGGAAGGGAGGGACGGGGGGGAGGAGAAAGGGGGAGAAGGCGGAGGAAGCGAGGAAGGGAGGGAGGAAGGAAATAAATGGATAATTTCCAAACGTTCCTCAGACTCTGGTTTTAATGTGTCCTATTTTGGATTTTCCTTAGCCCACCCTTTTCTGGTATTGACCAGATGATGACCTACAATTTGATTCTCAAAGGTATTGAAAAAATGGATTTTCCCAGAAAGATAACAAGACGACCTGAAGATTTGATTCGGAGGCTTTGCAGGTGAGAATGACAATTACAGGAGTAGGAATTTAAGGAGCCCCTTGTCTTGGGGAAAGTGTGAAGGCTTTCGGTTTCTGTTTTCACACACTTTAAAGTTAGGTACATATTTACTTTTGTACTTTTCTATGTAGTAAAATTACATTTAAAGAAAGCCCTTTTCTGTTTTGCAGTCTAATCTAAGAGTTTGAGTTTACCTCATGTTATGGAATCACCAAAACCAAAAACCAAATATGTTGCCATCAAGTTGATTCTAAATCATGGCAACCCCATGTGTTACACAGTAGAACTGAGCACCATAGGTTTTCTTGGCTGCAATCTTTAGGCTGTACCACTGAGTGGGTTCAAACTGCCAACATTTAGATTAGTAGGCCAGCACAAGCCCTTTGTGCCACCCAGAAATTTATAGAATCATATTAGCTACGTGTAGAGTAAAACAGACTCACATTTTTTAGGTTACCTTTGGGAATCATTTTTAACTGTTTGAGAGTGAAATGACCAATACCAATGGACTGGTATTGGATATTTTTACGTTCCATTTCACTTTTGACAACTTCCAATTTTCCTTGATTCATATTTCATACATTCCACATTCCAAATACTAATGGATGTTTGCAGCTGTTTCTTGTCATTTTGAGTTATGCCACATCAGCAAATGAAAGTCCTGAAAACTTTACTCCATCCACATCATTAAGGTCAACTCTACTATGAGGAGGCAGCTCTTCCCCAGTTGTATTTTGAGCGCCTTCCAACCTGAGGGGTTCATCTTCTGGCGCTATATCAGACAGTGTTTCACTGCTGTTCACAAGGTTTTCCCTGTCCAGTTTGTTCAGAAGTAGACCACCAGGTCCTTCTTCTTAGTCTGTCTTAGATTGGAAGCTCTGCTGAAACCTGTCCACCATGGGTGACCCTGCTGGTATTTGAAATACTAATGGCAAAGCTTCCAGCATCACAGCAACATGCAAGCCACCACAGTATGACAAAGTGACAGATGAGTGGTCACATTCATTGTCAAAAAGAACATTTCAAGATATATCCTGAAGTACAGTGATGTCAGTGACAGTGTAATATCCATACACCTACAAGGATGACCAGTTAATATACGATGTTACTCAGATTTACACACCAACCACTAATGCCTAAGATGAAGAAATTGAAGACTTTTACCAATTTCTGCAGTCTGAAATTGATCAAACATGCAATTAAGATACGTTAATAATTACTGGTGATTGGAATGCAAAATTTGCAAGCAAAGAAGGATCAGCAGTTAGAAAATATGGCCTTGGTGACAGAAATGATGCTGGAGGTCTCATGATAGAATTTTACAAGACTAATGACTTCTTCATTGCAAATACCTTTTTTCAACAAGATAAACAGCAGCTGTACATGTGGATCTCACAGGATGGAGTACACAGGAATCAACTCGACTACATTTGTGGAAAGAGATAATGGAAAAGCTCAGTATCATCGGTCAGAACAAGGCCAGGAGACAACTGCAGAACAGACCATCAATTGCTCATATGCAGGGTCAAGTTGAAGCTGAAGAAAATTAAAACAAGTCCACAAGAGCCAAAATACAACCTTGAGTATATCCCACCTGAATTTGGAGACCATCTCAAGAATAGATTTGACACATTGAGCACTAATGACCAAAGACCAGAAGAGATGTGGGATGACATCAAAGACATTATACAAGAAGAAAGCAAAAGGTCATTAAAAAAGCAGGAAAGAAAGAAAAGACCAAAATGGATGTCAGAAGAGACTCAGAAACTTGCTTTTCAAAGTAGAGTACCTAAAGCGAAAGGAAGTAAAAGCTGAACAGAAGATTTCAAAGGGAGGCTCAAGAAGACAAAGTAGTAAAGTATTTTAATGAAATATTCAAAGACCTGGAGTTAGAAAACCAAAAGGTAAGATCACGTTTGGCCTTTCTCAAGCTGAGAGAACTGAAATAAAAATTGAAGCCTTGAGTTGCAGTATTGAAGTATTCTATGGGAAAGTGTTGAACAATACAGAAATCATCAAAGGAAGATGGAAAGAATACAGAGAGTAACTGTACCAAAAAGAATTGGTCGCTGTTCAACTATTTCAAGAAGGAGTTTATGATGAAGAACCTACAGTAAAGAAGGAAGAAGTCCAAGGTGCACTGAAGATATTGGCCAAAAAAAAAAAAAAGCCTCCAGGAATTGACAGAATGCCAACTGAGATACTTCAACAAACAGATACAAAGTTGAAAGCATTCACTTGTCTATGCCAATAAATTTGGAAGACAGATACCTGGCCAACTGACCAGAACCAACTGACTGGAGATCCGTATTTGTGCCCATTCCAAAGAAAGGTGGTCCAACAGAATGTGGAAGTTATTGAACAATATCATTAATATTACACACAAGTAAAATTTTGCTGAAGGTAATTCAAAAACAGTTGCAGCAGTACATTGACAGAAAACTGCCAGAAATTCAAGCCAGATGCAGACAAGGACATGGAACAAGGGACATCATTGCTGATGTCATATGTATCTTGGCTGAAAGTATAGAATACCAGAAGGATGTTGACCTGTGTTTTATTGACTATGCAAAGGCATTAGACTGTGTGGATCATAAAAATTATGGATAACATTGCAAAGAATGGGAATTCCAGAACACTTAATGTGCTCAGGTGAAACCTGTAGATAGACCAAGAGACAGTTTTTCAAACAGAACTAGGAGATACTGCGTGGTTTAAAATCAGGAAAGGTGTACGTCAGGGTTGTATCCTTTAATCTGTATGATGAACAAATAATCAGAGTAGCTGGACTGTATGAAGAAGAACATGGCGTCAGGATTGAAGGAAAACTCATTAACAACCTGTGATATGCAGATGACACAACCTTGCTTGCTGAAATTGAAGAGGACTTGAAGCACTTTCTGATGAAGATCAAAGACTGCAGCCTTCAGTATGGATTACACCTCAATATAAAGAAAACAAAAATCCCACCAGTGGACCAATAAGCAACATCATGATAAAGTGAGAAAACATTGATGCTGTCAAGGATTTCATTTTACTTTTGAATCCACTACCAATGCCCATGCGAAGCAGCAGTCAAGAAATCAAACAACATAGTGCACTGGGCAAATCTGCTGCAAAAGACCTCTTTAAAAGCAAAGGTGTCACCTTGGGGACTAAGGTGTGCCTGACCCAAAATATTTTCAGTTGCCTCATATGCATGCCAAAGCTAGACAATGAATAAGGAAGACCAAAGAAAAATTGATGCCTTCAACTTATAGTATTGCTGAAGAATATTGAATATACCATGGACTGCCAGAAGAGTGAATAAATCTGTCTTGGAAGAAGTACAGCCAGAATGCTACTTAGAAGAAAGGATGGCGTGAATTCATCTCAGGTACGTTGGACATGTTATCAAGAGGGACCAGTCCCTGAAGAATGACATCATGCCTGGTAAACTAGAGGGTCAGCAAAAAAGAGGAAGACTCTCAAAAAAATGGATTGACACAGTGGCTGCAACAATGGGCTCAAACATAACAACGATTGTGAGGATGGCACAAGACCTGGCAGTGTTCTGTTCTGTTGTACATAGTGTCACTGTAAGTTGGAAATGACTCGATGGCAACAACAACAGAGATAGAAAAAAAAATTAAACTTAGATTAATAAAAGTCATTCATATACAACCTTGTTATTTTGAGAGAAAATCTGTAGTGATGATAAAGTCTTACTATATAGTCTGTCCTCTCAAGCTTGATTAAAAAATACTCCTCTAGCCATATTTTGGTTAAGAGCTTGGCTGCTAACTAAAAGGTCCGAGTTCAAATCCACTAGCCACTCCCTGGATACCCTGTGGGGCAGTTCTAGTCTGTCCTGTAGTTCACCATCAGTTGGAATTGACTCGATGGCAAAGAGTTTTTTTTTGTTTTTGGTTAGCCTCTTTTAAAATTACTCAAAATACATACACGTTTATAATTTTATACTTACCATTAAAAATAATTTATTACAGAAGCAAAGACTTCTAGAATTTTTGTTTAAACTTCATTTTGCCACTGTTTATTTTTTGTGCATTTGAATGATTTTTAAAGCATTAAGATTTAATAGATTTAGAGTGAGAAACCTAGCTGTTGGTTGCCAGCAGGCATTCCTACCTGCTTATAAGATTCCAGCTTAAATGTAAATGATTCTCTAAATCATTCCCTGATTTTCTCAGCAGAGTTGATCAAATAGTATTCTCTTGTTCTTTTAAACCTTTACTCATATCTCATATCTCCTTCAAAGCACTAAGATACACACACACAGGCACATACAATCACACATGCACACACACTCCAAAACCAGTTGTCATCAAGTTGACTCTGACTCATGGCAGTTCCATGTGTGTCATGGTAGAACTGTGCTCAATGGCTTTTTCACTGACTGATTTTTCAGAAGTAGATCACCAGTCCTTTCTTCTGAGGTGCCTCTGGGTGGACTCCAACCTCCAACCTTTTGGTTAGAACACAAACACAACCACTAACTCTCGTTCATTTGTGGGCTCCTCCAGGGCAGGGACCCTGAACTCAGATGACTGGCCTGCAGTAGGAAGTGTATTGATGTTGTTGAAGAAATGAATGAATGAGTAAATAAATAAATGTTAAACTTTAATTTAAAATTTGCTTAATCATAACCATTATGAACTTCTTTTTAAAAAAAATTTATTTTAGGCAAAATCCAACAGAACGTCTGGGAAATCTGAAGAATGGCATCAATGACATTAAGAAACACAGGTATCATACTTACTTCTTTGCCCAGAAAAATGTAGTAATCTTGACAGCTTCTCTCAGTAGGTCATGAGGGTCCCTTTACAGACTCTCAATTTTTCCTTTTTGGTGCTTTGCTTTCTCTCTACATATGTGTTACTAAATGCAGTTACAGTTATCAATTTCAAAGTGATTTCTTTAAAGCCAGAATGAATGTGGATTATATAACCGCTGGAAATTCCTGTCAAAAATGGGTGAAGTATAAAATCACATCTCCAAATCGTAGTAACTGAACTTTTTATTCACTGCCTTTTTTTTTTTTTTAAATATCTCCTTGGATCCTATAAAGAAATTAAGTTCTAGTTTTGACATTTAATTTCTAAATACTGTAGGATATAGTCATTGTTTAGGTGTCAGTACTCATGAGAATGGAACAGATAAATCAATTGTTCAATTGTACTCTATTCTGGTTTTAATAAATAGTATGCATTCATTTTTAAAATAATTTTCCTTTCCCGGCTACCACCACTGACTGCTCTGACTGGGATCACAATAGTGGGTCCCAGACGGAGCTGGAGAAAAATGTAGAACAAAATTCTAACTCACAAAACAAGACCAGACTTACTGGCCTGACAGAGACTGGAGAAACCTCAAGAGTATGGCACCTGGACACCCTTTTAGCTCAGTAGTGAAGTCACTCCTGAGGTTCACCCTTCAGCCAAAGATTAGACAGGGCCATAAAACAAAATAATACTAAAGGACACAGCAACCCAGGGGAAAGGACTAGAAGGCAGGAGGGGAGAAGAAAGCTGGTAATAGTGAACCCAAGGTCCAGAAGGGAGAGTGTTGACATGTCATGGAGTTGGTAACCAATGTCACAAAACACGATGTGTACTGATTGTTTAATGAAAAACTAGTTTGTTCTGTAAACTTTCATCTAAAGTACAATAATAAAAGAAAAAAGAAATTAAGAACCCATAAGCTTCTAATACATGAGTTAAAAAAAAAGAAAAAGAAAAAACCAGCAAAGTTGTGTAGCATTGAAGGCTTTGGGGGACTAGGGAAAAAAGCTATAACATACATTTGTGATTTTAAGTATGCCACAAATTTCGGGGTGTTATCACACTGTACTGCATGGCATTAGCATAATCAAGTGAAAAAAGTTTTTTTTCAATTGAATTTTGACACCTCATGTCATATTTCACTTTTTGGGTAAAGTACATTAATTTCCACAAATCCTCAGACAATGTTTTACCCTTATGCAGTAATCTAACATGCACCTTTCCAGTTCTGTGATTTGTAAAACTAGCCTTCAAACCATTGATAATTTCCATAAGACTTCCTGTCTGATTTAGCTAAATATTCAGTTGTGGCAGTTCAAGCCTTCAAGATTTTTGTTTTTTTAAATCATTGTGTTGCCCAGTTAGGGTCCGTGCCCCGGAGCAGTCGAGCCAGTGAAACGTACTCCAAGTCAGAAAGAGAGAGAGTTTATAAGGAGGTGACACCAACAGGGAGTCCGGCAGCAACGCAGTCAGTCTTTATGGATTCCTGAAAGGCAATATTACATTACAGTTTGTATATGATTTTTACAAGAGTTAGAAGTGTCTTTTGGCACATCGCCCACAGATGGCTGTATGAGTTACACATTACAAGATAAGTACAAGAGACTTCTTATCAGACTAAAGAGATACATGCTGGGCATTTCCTTATCAGGCTAAAGATTTACAGACTCAGCATCTGAGCTCTAATCTCCATATGGGGGGTCGTAAGTCACAGGTGGCAGGACAGAGCAAAACAAATTCATTAACAAAGTATGCGGAAAGGAGAAGGCAGGCAGAAAAAAACTTATAGGTTCATCATGGTGTTAGTTTGTTAAGCTCTCAATCACCCAATTTGAAAAAGGTGAAAACATGCTGTGGAGTATTAAGGTCACAAATGCTTGACTAATTCTTGCAAGCCTCAAGGTGTTTTAATTTTGCTTATGATTTACAGACATAAAATATCAGTTAGAATAAATTAATAGTACAAAAAAAAATGTAGGGGTTTAATTATTGAGAACCTTTGAATACACTGATGTGTCGACTTTTGGAAATGAAAATACCTCTCAATATTTCATTTCCCTGTGGATAGTTTTACTGAAAAATTAGGGGCACATGGACCCAGTGTGAAACTAAAGCTAGAGATGCAGCAGAATAGAACCCCATTTATCCATTTGCCTTAACAGTAGTGGTACAGCTTCAAAAAAAAAAAGAATCTCTGAGCTGCCAAACAAGCTTTATCTGTTCATGAACTTATTGAAATAAAGCCAAGTATTCAACATTGTAAATTCATAGCTGGCTCTGCCTTAAGGATGTTTTAGGAAGGACTGGAGGGAAGGACAAAGAAAGAGAAAGAGAGAGAGAGAAGATAGACATCTATGGATTTTATAGACATCAAAATGCTTGTATTATTTTAATGTTCTTTGTCAAACTTTGAACTGCCTTCAGTTTTAAAGCTCATTATTCATTTTAGATTCCAATTTATTTTTCTTCCCACACTACATGCTGTTATCACAATTTCTTTTCTCATTATAAAATGACACATAAACACACCATTCATAGTGAGGAAACAAGTGTCTTGTCAATTAAAGTCATGGTTTCAATATATTTTCCTCTTTTCTGTCATTAAAGAAGCTCTCCACGTTTTGCTCTGGGGTAGCTGGGAAATAGAAGTGATATAATTGTTAACAGACTCCAGCTTTATCTTTCACTTCTTATTTACCTGAGGCTCATTTAAATTAGCTGTCAAATCCATGATTGGATGCACATGCAAATTGATGCTAATTGATTTTCTCACCTCAGCATGGTGATAAAGAATTTTGAATTTTCTTCCCTGTAGGGACTAATTTCCAATTCTTCTTAATAGGCTGAATGTTCTTTGCCACTTAATAGTGGGTTAGGAGTGCAAAGTGTAGGGTAGAGTTCATTAATAGACCAAACTTACACAGTGCCTACCTTCCAGTGAGTCCAGAGAGCTTATGAACCTTATTTCATTCTATTTTCAGAGCTTTTTAAAGTATATAAAGATGGGGGAAAAGCAAAACTGAGAAATAGTGCTCTCTCTGCCTCCGATAACCAAACCCATTGCCATCTAGTCTATTCTAACTCATAGCGATCCTAGAGGACAGAGTAGAACTGCCCCAAAGGGTTTCCAAGGAGTGGCTGGTGGATTCAAAACTGCCAACCTTGGTTAGCAGCCAGACTCTTAACCACTGTGCTAAAACCTTCCACAAAAGTCTCTGAGGTATATAGATTTTCTACCCAGTATATTCTTGGAATTTAAAAAAAAAAAAAAAATTCTTCCTAAAGTTTGATGTCAGATTTTCTCACTTTCCTCTAAAGTAAAACTTTTATTTTTTCTTTTTTTCTTACAGAACTATTCACTTTAAATTTGTATTTAAGAACAGTACAGTTAAACCTGGCATATTGTTAGATGGATTTGTCCACTCTAAGTGTTAAATCATCTTTTCTAAAGGTAATTACAGAGATCCCCTCCCTTGTTTACTATCAGCTACCAGTTGGCCTTGAGGCTACTCATGGTGACCTCATGTTTGTCAGAGTAGAACTGTGATCCATAGAGTTTTCAGTGGCTGATTTTTGGAAATAGATCTCCAGGCCTTTTTCAGAGGTGCCTCTGGGTGGACACAAACCACCAACCTTAACTGTTTGTACTACCTGAGCACTCCCCCTATTTACTAATTCATAAGCTAGGCACCAATCCTGTCTCCTAGTACTTAGAAGGGGTCTAACACACGTGTAAGGAGCTCTGGTGGCACAGTGGTTAAGAGCTCTACTGCTAACTGAAACACTGGCGTTTCAAACCCACCAGGTGCTCCATGGGAGAAAAGACCTGGTGATCTGCTCTTGTAAAATCTAGGGGCAGTTCTACTGTGTCCTATAGGTGTTGCTATAGGGTCGCTGTCGACCCAAAGACACACAACAACAACAATACATTTGTAGAGTACAATTAAATCTTTCCTGCTAGGTAAAGAAATAATTTTTGAACGTTTTAAAGTCATTTTTAATGTTTCAAGTCTCTGAAATTACTTTCAAGAATAGCTTATTCATGAAGAAGCAGTTTGTGTACCATTGCTGCTAATAGTTCTTCCGTGAATATTTTTTACACATGAGTGGATGCTGGCGCTTGCATTAGTTAAACATAGGTGGTGTCAAAAGGCCAAGTATTAAGTGAATAGCCACCCATCTTAAGTAAATATTGCCTGCCGTAAGTCAAATTGTAACAAGCAGTCAGCAAGAAATGCATTTTTGAGTTTGCTCTTTGATTCAGTAGATTAAGAGTAATGATTTCTGTTACTATTTATCGAATAACTTCTGGGTAGAAAGCATTGTAAAATATGATGAAAGGAATTGTTACAGTATTTGGTATCCAAAGAAAAGAATTCAGAGAACTGTATACCAAGAAACCCCTAAAAATGGAGCCCCAGTCTGTGCAAAGGAGCCATTGGATCCCCACGAAACTGAGAGCAAGTGGATCAAAGAGAGGACTTCTGTGGTTTCACTAGAAGGGCAGAGGAAGCCATTGCTGCCTGCCTGTTACTGTGGCTAGAGTCATGGCAGTTTATACCAAGATGGCACTGTGGGTTATGGATGGCATCTGAAATGGAACGGACTAGACCCTGTCCTCCCTGTTTTTAGTACCTTTCACCATGAGTCGGAATTGACTGAAGGCAACAGTTTTTGTTTTTTTGGTTCCTGCTAAGCTTAGACCAAACCAAAACACCAAACCCACCACCGTCGAGTGGATTCCAACTCGTAGTGATGCTATAGGACAGAATACAACTGCCCCATGGCGTTTCCAAGGAGCAGCTGGTGGATTCTAACTGCCATCCTTTTGATTAGCAGCTGTAGCTCTTAACCACTGTGCCACCAGGGCTCCAAGTTTAGACCAGGGGTGGGAAATCCATTCAAGGACTAAACCAAAACCAACTCCCAGGATCAGCAGGGATTGAGAAAGATTGAAAAAAAACA